TATATATTTTATTTATTTTCTATTTCATTTATATAATATATATGTGGAGATTTCCTTTGGCACTCTTAGTCTTTAGCAAATCAAAATAGAAATTAAAATGAATATCCTATATCCCATTTCATGCCTAGTTGGAACTGTTCGTTCATTTTACAATAGAATATAGCATGTTACACTGTAGGACATGTCAACTCCTCAAGTATTTTACGAAACCACCCTTTTTTATTACATGAAAATAAACATGTACCATCACTAAAATGTCCTGGATTAGGTACTTGTGATGGACTGATGGCTGAATTGACTTGGACAAAGAGATAAATTAGCTGCAATCTATATTTTTCTTAAACTTGGACATTGATGCAGTGAGCACTATCTTATAGTGGCTTCACACATCAATTTCTTCTGTAAAGTAAAATGTTAACGAAGGAGCATGGGGAATACAGAACATCTAATAAGCTTGCCTTCAGACTCTGAACATTAAACAAGAAGATCTGAAAGCATCTGCAACTGTCCTGAAATGACATCATTACATCTTGACGAAACTGATGATTAGAATGAGCGATCATCATCTGAATAGATACAGCCACTAATGCTTCAGTGAAATATGTCAGCCGATCCATATGGTCAGCATCACTGCATCAATACACCATTGCATCGATATACACTGAAGTGCCCCAAAACAGTTCATTAAAGCAGACTGTCACTAAAGTGCCAATAATGGTAATATACATTTAGTAATCAATGAAGGGCGGTCATCAGAACCCGAGGGCTGAAGTGCAAGCTTTCATTTCTCCGGATATTAACATATAATGGGCAACTATCCAAAATCTTGTCTGCCAAATTATAGATTCCCATATAGCATCAGTCGACTCATGTAATTCTGATATAGGTGTGCGGGCCAGGTTTTCTTGTTCTCTGAATCAGCAAAAAAATCAAATCCAATTACAGATATGTTTGCTATTGTGTCAAGTTCATAGTGAACATCACTCCATTGAGGCCTCTTAAAAGCGTCAATATGTCCTCCAGCGCTTAATGTAATGATCTGGGCCACGTCATGCTTGTCAGACATATTCGTTTGGCAAATAAAACTTACATTAGCCCGACCCTAGAGAGCAGGGGCGGGGGTGTTAAACGAAAAAGACAACAACACTATCACCCATCAACCTAGTTCATGCCCAGGAAAAATCCCTGGTCAGACCTAGACACATCATCTAATTACGAAACGGGCAGAAAAGGGAGGATTGGACCCCCTGAGCAGGATGGGTGTCTTGTCTGGCTGATAAGAGCAGGGCCTCCTCCTCTTCTGTACCCGTCCCGAGCGAGCAGGGAGTGTTAGAGCGGGACACAGATAGATCATCTTTCAGGGATTAGTGGGCAGAGGGAGGAGGGCACTGCCTGATCTCACTGCTGCTCCAGTTTCTGAATAAGTGGGAGCAGTGATGCCACTGCAGTGCTGAATGAACATGGACGTCACGCATGCTGGACCGCCTTATAACACTCTTTCACATTCTTTGTTTTCGGGAAGGTAATTTTGCCTAATCTATCAGCCACTCTGACAAGTGATGTGTGAAATGGTTGAGTAGAAACAATAACATGCATGTCTCTCACATGTGTATTTCTTGAAGAACTTTACAATTTTGTATTGCACCTCAGAATCATGATATCATTAGTTAATGATATTCTGTATTTTTTCTAATATTGCCAAATTATATTTAATGTAAAGTAACACTTGAATTTAATTCCATACAAGTTAAAAAGTTTGGGGTCTGTAAATTTTTTGAGGGTTTTTGAAAGAAGGCTCACCAAGGCTGCATTAATTTGGAAAAATATGGTAAAAACAGTCATATTATGAAGTGTTATCACAATTTAAAATAGCAGTTTTCTATTAAAATATATTTTAAAATATTATTTAATGTGGTGACAAAGCGTAAGTTTCACTTATACGAGTAGAAACATGATTATGTCTTGAAAAAAGATTGTGATTCATATGTTTATATACAAAGTTGTTGTGTGTTATTAAATTCATTTGTTGTGTCTTATTAAATAAACTTTATTTTTATTGAAAACTTTAATTTTGGTTTTGGTGTTTCAGGAAAAACTATTTAGGTGTAATATTTCTTTGATTTGCTCAGGTGATTATTAAATATGATTTTTTTTTAATGACATTAATGGCACTTCTACAGCTCTTTTTTTGTAGCTTGCAAGTTATAGTTAAAGGGGTCATATGATGTTGCTTAAAAACTTTAGTCTTTGCAAATTTACAGATCTTCTTTATGCACCAAGAGCTTGTAACACTCCAAAAAGAAAGGAAAAATTGAAATCGCATCATATGACCCCTTTAAGACTCCTTTGATTGTATATGCCTTCCCTGCTTTAAATGTGCCTTTTTGTAGAGCTGTGCTTCTTTATGGTGGACGTCTGCAGTGGACTTGCTGTGGTTAGCATATGACATGCACATTTTTTATATATATATTTTGTTTGTTTTTTATTTATTTATATGTGCCATTGATTGTTTCTGTTTTCACCCAGGCTGTGATCTGGGTATTTTGTGTCTTTAATGTCCAATCTCTATAGATCACTACTGACACAAGCGTCCTTCTCCATGGTCCTGCAGAGGGGTGTGTGTTTGTTTTTGTCTGTGTTTGTTTTGGGACTTGAGAGATTACGTATTGCATCCTTGCTTGCACTGGAAGGCACACGTCTGATATTTTAGCCAGTCTAACCCCTCCTCCTTTTCCTGTGCTGGAAACCTTTGGCCTTTGTCAGACAGAAGCAAGAGAAATGAACATGAACTCCTACTCTCCTAGACTACAACCCCTGACCCGTTTAAGACTGTTCCCCTGCCCCCCTGGGCCATTCATTTCTGAGAATAGAAACTCAGTCTGAACTCGAACAGAGATGACAGATTAGTGAGGAGTGTATAAATCTAATCTCCCCAGAGAAGAAAAGATGAATATACCTGATTGCCCCAAAACCCAAATCAAATCACACTGTTATATCATTCAACCAAACACATACATCAGTTCCTCATCTAGTTTTGGTTGGTTTACTACATAGAGAGTGATTAAACAGTCGTAATCTGTGATGCGTTCAGACAGTTCTTAAGTCTTGTTCCTTTCTAAGCTGCTTTGATAACTCTCTTTATGAAATAGCTGTTGTTGATGCAGTTCCATTATGGTGCAACAATGTTGTGTTTATATCACCAGATGGTGAATAAAAACATTAATCAACAGCTTGTAGCTTTGGAAACTCAGTAAGACTTGTTCAATCTACAGACATATGTTGTTGTGAAGATATCGGTGATGGAGATGATCACTGCTATCCTGCTTTGAATTTTATAAGAATTAGCCACCCACTCAACGTGGAAGATCAACAGGAAGCGCCGTGCTCTACTACTGCTCCCCTTGTTCTGTCCAAACACAGGCCAGGATTCTGAGGGTCAAGCATCTCCTCAGGGGTCAGTGACTAAGTGGGGCGATAGATAAATAAAGGGGACCCGGACCGTGGGTATTGGCAGTGACAGGCCAGGGCCTTAAAAGGTTGCATCTGAGCACTTTAGAGAATCACGTCTCCCCCATGAACTCTCAAACATCGCAGCCCACCCTTACCGTTTCCTTATTCATGAGAGAGGGGGTTTCTTAGTAGTCTACTAGTGTTATTCTTAAGGTCTATTATAAGAAACACATGCAAACATCCACATTAGTGCACTTTTTTAGTTGTCTAATATGCACAAATAGCAAAACTGTGTAACTCCACAGATAGCTGAAGTAAAGAAGAGTGTAAAAGTATTTACCTTTGAATGTATTAATGTAATAAAATTTGATCTTATTGGAGCTATAGTTACTTTTTAATTATTTAAATGTTTGTTTATTTATTTATTTATTTATTGTGCTCCAAGCTCATAATACTTCGGTAGACGTGAGTTTAATGATATGTTAGAGCTCATTATATGTTAGAGCTTAGTTAGAGCTGACGTTTAGTCAGCGATATAATCAGTTAGAGAGATTTTAGTGGATGCTTACATTAAATATGCATTGCAAATATGCAAACTTTACTTTTATTAAAGGGGTCATATGATGCGATTTCATTTTTTCCTTTCTCTTTGGAGTGTTACAAGCTCTTGGTGCATAAAGAAGATCTGTAAATTTGCAAAGACTAAAGTCTCAAATCCAAAGAGATATTCTGGCTGTGGATCGCCGGATCGGCTTTCGCTGTTTTCACCGCTCCTTCG